AGTGTTTCATTACCTCCCAGTAACACAAGGGTTTCATTACCTCCCAGTAACACAAGGGTTTCATTACCTCACAGTAACACAAGGGTTTCATTACCTCACAGTAACACAAGGGTTTCATTACCTCACAGTAAAACAAGGGTTTCATTACCTCCCAGTAAAACAAGGGTTTCATTACCTCACAGTAACACAAGTGTTTCATTACCTCACAGTAACACAAGGGTTTCATTACCTCCCAGTAACACAAGTGTTTCATTACCTCACAGTAACACAAGTGTTTCATTACCTCACAGTAACACAATGGTTTCATTACCTCCCAGTAACATAAGAGTTTCATTACCTCAGAGTAACACAATGGTTTCATTACCTCCCAGCAACACAAATGTTTCATTACCTCACAGTAACACAAGGGTTTCATTACCTCCCAGTAAAACAAGGGTTTCATTACCTCCCAGTAACACAAGTGTTTCATTACCTCACAGTAACACAAGTGTTTCATTACCTCACAGTAACACAAGAGTTTCATTACCTCACAGTAACACAAGGGTTTCATTACCTCCCAGTAACACAAGGGTTTCATTACCTCTCAGTAACACAAGTGTTTCATTACCTCTCAGTAACACAAGTGTTTCATTACCTCACAGTAACACAAGGGTTTCATTACCTCACAGTAACACAAGGGTTTCATTACCTCCCAGTAACACAAGGGTTTCATTACTTCTCAGTAACACAAGTGTTTCATTACCTCTCAGTAACACAAGTGTTTCATTACCTCACAGTAACACAAGTGTTTCATTACCTCACAGTAACACAAGGGTTTCATTACCTCACACTAACACAAGAGTTTCATTACCTCCCAGTAACACAAGGGTTTCATTACCTCTCAGTAACACAAGTGTTTCATTACCTCTCAGTAACACAAGAGTTTCATTTCCTCTCAGTAACACAAGGTTTCAATACCTCTCAGTAACACAAGGGTTTCATTACCTCTCAGTAACACAAGTGTTTCATTACCTCTCAGTAACACAAGAGTTTCATTTCCTCTCAGTAACACAAGGTTTCAATACCTCTCAGTAACACAAGGGTTTCAATACCTCCCTGGAACACAAGAGTTTCATTACCTCACAGTAACAATGGTTTCATTACCTCACAGTACCACAACGGTTTCATTACCTCACAGTAACACAACGGTTTCATTACCTCCCAGCAACACAAATGTTCCATTACTTTGCAGGAGTTTTATTTCATTTCATTTAAGTCCCTGCAGACAGATTTTTTCTATGTTTTAAATCCTTGGATGGTATTACATGGTCAAATCCTACCTAATTTTCAAAAGTATTTCACCCTTCTGATTATAATGATATTTTATACCTTAAAATAATAAGCAACATATGTTTTTCATTCAAATCTCACTGAGTAGATGAATGGGACTCTTAATAGAGAACAGAATTACCTTCTTGATTGTTTAAGTTAGCACTATAATGCATTACAAACCTTTACCTATGTCTTCACAATAGTTTATATCCACTATGTACACCTTCATCTTACACTAAGGATGCTACTTAAAAAAATAACCTTTAGTTGATCATGTAAGATAAGTTCCAAGAGCCATAACTCTACCTGTACATACATGCAGAATATGCATTATAACATCTGATACTATTATGGTACATAGAAACTAAAAGGGACTAGTTCGACAGACAGAACATTCCTTAACTACAAAACATGGTGGAAGGGGGCATTCCAAGACTTTTATGGTGAATAATGGATACCCAATACTACAAAATTGTAATCAGAAATAGACTGAGTTTCTATCTCAAATATGCATGGGACGTTCTATTATTACAAATCTACTAACTTGTATGTTTATAACTACCTGCATCAGGTTTTTTTTCTGGAACATTAATGATATGGTCTTCAATTTTTACTGCGGTTTTATTTCAATGCGGTCTATCTTGTGCAAGTCAGTACCAAACCCTACTGCTGAAAGCAATTCCACCAAGAAACTAGCAAATTCTTTTCAAATAACATCTCAAATACTTCAAATTTAATTTATTTTTCAATAACTGGGAATCAAGTTATTCCAACTTTTATTAACCATTCCCGTCGACCTGGATAGAAGCATGTTCACAAGCAAAGGGTCTTACTGTGGGAGGAAACCAGAGGACATGAGGAAAACCCATGTGGACAAATAGGCACTCCAATACTTTTTCCAGCCATTCAACAAATCAAACCTTTGATGCCAAGATGAAATGCAAGTATTTATCATTGCCCTATCTGAAAACCCAACATTCTTTAAAAACATAAATTTGATACCTTGTACAAAAGTTATATTTCCAAATAAATCAGGATAATCATAATAAATGCTCCATTTGATTAGGGCCAAGGTCAGAATTTATCAGAACAAAGGCAAATGGGTAATTGGATCACACATTTTTTTGGGTGACAAGGATCATAATGGTGTATCGTACATGTGTGTTGAGATTTCATTTCTTTTGCAAAAGTAGTTTAATGATTTATCACTACACAATTTTTACACAGATTTCAATAAAAAACAATTTTCCAAAATAATTTTTTTCTCTGAAACTATTGCAGATTGCATTCTACAGACAGAAGAAAGAGAATATGATTTTTGCATACTGTACTAAAAAGAATCCTGGGACCTTACCTTAACCTAAAACCACATCATCAGAATTCATATCAATATTTGACTTATCTCTTTCTTCTCTCCATCTCTGTTTTAAGATGCCCATAATTAAATGTGAAATATCAACTTGTTTTGCAATATTTGAGATTTCATAGCACAGGTTTTCGTGGCCAGATGGAAATGTCATAAAAACACAGCAATATTGGAATCAATAGCTATTAACATTAGGTTGTTAAAAATGGTCAAAATCATATCTTTACAACCAAAAGGGAGCATCCAAAAAGAAACCAAAAAGATGTTTGCCTTTCTTCTTGTACTAAATAAATTATGTAAGTAAAAAATCTTAATTTTAAAATGAAAACCACAACTTATGGAATAAGTATTTACTTATATACACATCAATATTAATGAACACAAATGTTCAGGTATCTTATACTTTATTTAGTATAATACATCTACTGTTTTATTGATAACACATCTAAATCAGTATTAGTGAATGTCTCCATTAATTTCTGTCTGTAAGATATCAGCACTCTTATTGAAGAGTAATTTGAAAACAAGTTTCTTACGAAATCTGATGCTTAATTCTGTCTACTGGCTTTCTTTGGAATTTCACTTTAGAATACCATAGATCTTAATATGTAGATGATAAAAACAAGGTTTTGACAGAAAGAGAAGAATTTAATGATATTGCATCAAATAAGAACAAAGATCAATCTTTTGAAAAAAAAATAGATCCAAGAAAGACTCGAAGAGGACACTCTCTTCACAGAAATACTGAAGTATTGCAGATATATCAAGCAGTTACCAAGGTACATTAAATCATTAGTAGGTCCGGGCTTTAATGGGTTAGGTTTAGCTTTTAATGGAGTTTAGACCATCCTTTAATGAGTTTTGTCCATTTTTTTAATGGAGCTTGGTCCAGTCAATTGGTTAAGAGCAACAATTAATTGACTAAGTTCAGTCTTAAATGGGTTAGGTCCAGTTTTTTGTTTTTCTGTTTTAATTTCTGTTACTTTGGTTCAGTTTACACCACATGTTCACCATTGAGTGGAGTAATACAAACATTTGTGTACACAGTGGAAACATGTTGCTGTTGAGAAAAATTTCCAAAGTGTGGGTTATTTCTCAAATATGCTTTTAACAAATGTGCAATCAACAGCAGTTCCTGAATTTTATTAACAATTTATTGTGTATTCTCTCTAGAAAATATCAGCCAATCAGAATGTGAGTTGAAAATAAAACCAAACAATTGATTATGAAATATTAAACTGAACTTAAATAGAGAAATTGTGGGTAGTGAGCAGAACCTTGAGCAATAACGCTGGAGTTAATCAGTGGGTTTTTTTCTGGTTTAATACAACACCACTCTTCATCAGTTATTGTTAATATATTCTATGGAGATATACAAGTTTATATACAATTCCTTACCTGAACTTTCTGTTAAGGAGAATTAAAAAAAAACTTTGAAACAACTCGTTTGAGTACATGCAAAAGCAATTTATAAAACCACTTGCCAATTAATAAAACCATTCGCCAAATTAATGAACAGAATTTCCAACACAAAGTTAAGCTTGGAAGACTATCAGAGATTTAGCCTTAGTATTAAACAAGGAAACAGTTATGGACTGTAAAACCTTTTAAATTTGACACACGAAATCAATAAGGCAAGTTTTCAGAACATACAGGGTTTAGCAGTTGAAGTCTAATAAGATGTACATTGTATGTATGTCAGATTTGATAGGACATTTGACTTTACAAGTTCTACTTTTGCAAAGATTTAAAATCTATTCAGTAAGTCAAAAATATAAACTATGACAAAACTGTCATCCAGTGAATGTAATATTGTTCCAAATATTAAATTTCTACTACAAACAAATCTTTTATTTTATATTATCTTTATTTTATCTTTTTCATTTTTAAGTAAGTTTTTCTTCCAAAAATTACCAATAACAAGTGTATTAGTTTCTACTGATATTTCATCCATCTAGTTTCTCAGGTATTGAGTAAATTTCTGCAACAAGTAAACTGATTATCCATAAACCAATTTTCTATTATAATCTTATACATTATTCTACATCTGTTGAAAATTCTTCTGCTTATAAAATCCCTAACATTTTTGATTTTCAATATTTTGTTTCCTAAATTTCTTAAATTGACTGGACTTATATTCAGATAACCAAAAACAAATTTCAATATTAGAAAGGTCACACAATCAGGTTTTAATAATTGCTGCAGCAGTTAATATCTATTTCCCAAAGATAACATAATCCTAGCTACACTGTTATCTGTGGCAGTTATACTTAAATCTGTCCTTCTGTATCATTGACAGAAAATAGATAATTGCTAGGCATACCTGAGAAGCAATCGAAGCCTTTACTTTCCAGAACTTTAAACACATACTGTCGACTGCATTGTGAAAACACCTGAAAGAGAACACAGACATTTTTACATTTTTTCATCAGACATCTGCAGAAAATTGACAATGATCCCTGGTCCACTTCCTCATACTATCACCACACAAGTTAAATGACTGATGATGGAAAAACTGACCAACCCACAATCTGATGATAGGCTAATGAGAGATTGTTTGAATTTTATAAACTGTTACCTGATTGTTGGCCTGGTAGCCAGTTGTTGAGCTGGGATACATGATGTACTTGCCCCCAGCCGAGGATTTCGGAGAACAGGTGACAGTGTCAGGATCATGCTCACTTCCCCAATTGTGACCTAATGACAACAGTCACAAAATGTATTTGACAGTCACTTCACAAAATTAATTACTTCATATAACTGGTTTCTTGATTTTTTCACATGAATAAATAAAACTGTGTAGATACAGAAATGAATATGTATGTCAGTGAAATAAATAATGAGTGCTCTGATGAATTTATATCGCAATTAGCCAATGTAAATGTTGACCTGTATCTATTTCTGCTCAGTACGTAGAATCATCTACAATGCTATTTGATTGTCCTATAATAGGCCCGCCCCCTGACCATGAATCAGAGATCAGTGTTGATCAACTGAACTTGTCACAGTATAAATACAATACATAGTTTGTCATGTATTCTATAATCATAAAGATCAATAATATCCTCAGTAAATTTTTCACTTGACACAAAAATAAAGAATTCCAGTCAACAAACAAAACAATACAAACAATTAAATATTTGGAAAGAAAATAGTAATGTTGTAAGACGAAATCGTGCTCAATAAGATATCAACTTACCTAATTCTGTAGTCAGAACAATCCAGCACCATATGAAAAAGTCGAATGTATTTTCACATTAATTATGAGAACAGAGTATGAGCTAACCATATAAAAGGTATATGATATCTAAATGTAACTATCTTATCTCCTTTTTAAAGAGATAACAAGTGACTAAGTGACTCCTGAAATGTCTTAAATAAGGCATTCAGAAGCTTATTTGACTTAGATGCAAAGAAATCCTTATGAAATCAAAGTGTAAATACACTTGTTTGAAAAATCAGGAAACACGATTAAAAGGCATCGTATGTAATTAGGCTGAGCATAGCTATGTCATTAACATTTATATAATTAATTGTTTTCATAGGTAGCTTTAACTCTTACAGAAAACACAGTTTGATACAAACAGGTCTGATGGGTAAGGTAGCATATACCCTTAACACAATCACAAACCACAAGTTTGATAGGTAAGATAGCATATAGCCTTAACACAATCACAAAACAGAGGTTTGATGGGTAAGGTAGTATAACTCCAACACAAATCACAGGTGTGATGTGCAAAGAAGCATAAAGCCTAATCTCTGACACAAATTCACAAATTACTGTGTCAAGTAGTGCAGTGTAATACAAATATATTAATAAATGACTAAAAACTGTACAAATTCAAAATTTTTTCAACTAAAAAACACCACTAAGAAACATCAGAAGTACTACTTTCTGATAAACAAATAGGAAACCTACGATATTTTACCTCTAACAAAGATGATGAAAGAAAACAAAATTTGACATACCGTGGGATACAGTGAGTGTTGAGGGTAAACTCATTGCAGTGCTGCCCCCTGGTGTTCGGAATGAGCTGACACCTGTGTTGACAGCTTGCTTTTTCCTATTAACATATGCCGCTGTGAGAGACAAAGAATGTGGTTTAATATTTATTTTCTCACACATCATTTCTCAGGTTTTATTCTTTTCAGATGAGTACTGCTTATTATTTCACAAGCAAAAACACTTCATTACATTACTTTCTTTTTCTACGTTTTTGATTACAAAACTAGACTAGTATTATCTTATTTTCTGCATGCTATATTCATATCTGCATTCTTTATATATGGATTTTTTTTCATGGGGTAATGATATCAATATTGATATAAAATTAGGTAAGTTTTGTTAAATTCAATACAACTTTCAATATATAAGCATCAAAAGCTCACAGGACAAGCAAATTGCAGAGTCAACATGAGGCCCATGGGCCTTAACAGTCACCTGAAGTCTCCAGGTCTGAACAGTTTTAAATATCTGTCAGTCAGTCCCAGCATTGGGAAGACAGAACAGAACTGATATATGCATACTTACAAAGATCTATTGTTTCATAGTTTGAAGGCTTAATTTTCAATTAAACGGAACTGATAACACTGACTGTTGTTACAGTTTAGCATGTTTGACCCATGGGATCTTGAATGAGGGTCAAGGTCATTCATTTGAATGTGAATGTAACTGGTAGCCCTTCATCCCAGCATGCTACTGGCTTAATATCATGACCCTGGGTCATTTTGCTATTGATAATAAGTCGTTTAAAGGTTTTTAATTCATTTAAACCTTGTGACCTTGAAAATGGGTCAATGTCATCCATTTGAATAAACTTGGTTGCCTTTTATCCCAGCATGCTACTGGCCTAATACCATGACCCTGGGCTTTTTTGTTATTGAAAACAAGTTGAAAATGTAAATTGTTTATAATATACAATGAACATGCAGGAGGCCAGACAAAATACTATCACAATAGGTTTTTGTCTCAGGTGACCTAAAAAGTCAATTTTACAACATGTGATACATCTGAATGTCTCTTTTAATCAATTCAATACATTTGTAGTACAAATTTCCTATCATTCCACATGTTTCTTTCTTTTAGATAAATTTTAGCAATGACTGGTTAATTACTTATTGTGAAAAGTGTCAAAGGAAATCAGAATTTGTATTTGTTCATACCTTCAGAACAAATTCCACCCAGGTTATACTTGTGTGGTGAGGCAATGTAGGCAAGGCCCAGCTTTCCTTCGAATGCTTGATATGTAAACAGATGCCCTAGACAAAAATTCTTGAAATCTTTGACATGTGCTTCACCAAACCACTGAAATAGTATCATGTGAAAAAAATGTACAAAGTCAAACAAATAATTACATTTACAAAGTCAGTTTAACAAACAGTCATATGATACTTTCTGAATCAATGACCCCCATCCCCACCCACTCCTAAAAAACCAGGGATTCACATTTCCTCTACTACTCTCCGAATTTCTTTATATTTCGAAAGAAGAGTTACCCTTAACCTTTACTCATGACCACCAACCTGTCTAAGAATTTGATGGTGAGGAGTAATGGTGCAAATTAGAATGAATTCTTTGGAGGGGTTCATGAAATATCTTATGCACAAATATTACACTTATGTACCAACGGACACACACAAAGCATTTACTATACATGCATGTCACTACTAAGGGACAGGTGAGGTATCATATTACTGATACAGTTAAACCACATATATACATACAAAATCCCTGAAGCATATCAACATTATAATGCATCAATAAAATGGAAGAAAACACTTTAAAAAAAATCCTTGCCATTTCTGAGGAGGAATGACATTTGACCTGAAAGGTTTCTATGACTTGAAAGCTTTAACAGAATGTTTTGAGCAGAGATGAGGTAATCTAGCCCAATTCTGCAGACTCATAGGGTCTGTATCACTACACGGGAATCAGAGTGCATGAGGTAGAACCCAGGGTAGAGGGTTAGAGGGAGCAAAGCCACCCCAAAGGAATGAAATCAGGATAATTTTGAAAATAACTTGCTTCATTTTGTGATGATATTTAGCAGATATGTATTTGTACAAAGATAATTACATGCCTGGCCATATATCTAAACAACCCATAGCAAAAAAACATGACTATTGCAAATGTCATCATACCCAGCAAATGTCTACTTTGATAAGATGGCGATTTCAACAATCACCCACATTTTGGCTCCTTCTCTAACACCTCTGTTGAAGTCAACCAACTTAATTATGCTTATTTTTAATCTATTCTTCATGAAAGTACTTTCAATCAAACATTAATGACATGGATCAATCCCACGGTTCTGGAGCAGAACTTATTTCAAAATTAAGCCCAGTTAAATGAGGAGCCTTTGACCTAGATAAACATTGAGATTTAGCAACGGTATTCTGATTACATTTCCCTGATAATTAGTGTAATCCATGCAAATGTTCTATTGATGATATATCATATATGTGGGCTTATTACCAGATATGGGCTTATTACCAGAAACATGTATATCCTATACCGGAATGTAATTTGTATGGTTACTTCTGACTTACATCTAATACATTGGACATATCTCTGACACGATTGGCCATGTTGTAATGGTTGTTTTCACTGCTGTTCGTGTACGACTCATGGACTATGATCTGAAACAGGAAACCACAAACTATTAGTACATGTACAGATTAAGTAATATTGTACTGTGTATAACTGCTCAGTCATATTCTAGGATCATGCTGGCAATAAAGCTTGAAAGTCTTTGATGGGATATCACATAAAAAAAGTATTCTTGAAAATCTCATTTTTGTACAAATCTAAAATAATTTCAGCAATATTTTTAAAACAAGATTTTGAATCCGTTTTTGTATCTCATCTAAAATTTACAAAGTTTGTTCCAAAGCCTCCCCAACCCAAAAACTTTTTTTATCAAATCCTGTAAGAAAATAAAACTTGAAATGATTAAAATACAGCATGATCTGAGTATATACACAATATAATATTCCAGGTAATTTTATCGTGTTTACCTCAGCTATTTCAAACCCTGCCTGAATTATGTTCTCCTTACTGTCAGTCCAGATAGTTTTTTTGTAGTAACCATTGACTCTGTCTATCAGACTTATCTGTGGAACAAAACATATAATATAAAAGTACATTGATAAATACATAGCATTACACTGTGCTTTAGATTTAAGACTTAAAGATGTGTGCTACCTACCTGTGATATGGTAACTTATTTTTGTACAAAATCTACTTATGCCTTAAAACTAATGAGTACATGGTTTAACTGCCACTTGGAGACTTTAGGGGACAAGCCATGATCTGCCACAAGGTGACGTTAGGGTACATGCTATGATCTGTCACAAAGTAAAATTAGGGTACAAGCCATGATCTGCCACAAAGTAAAATTTGGGTACAAGCCATGATCTGCCACAAGGTGACATTAGTGTACATGCTATGGTCTGCCACAAGGTGACCTTAGGGTACAAGCCATGATCTGCCACAAGGTGACATTAGGGTACATGTTATGATCTGTCACAAAGTGAAATTAGGATACAAGCCATGATCTGCCACAAGGTGACCTTAGGGTACAAGTCATGATCTGCCACAAGGTGACATTAGGGTACATGCTATGATCTGTCACAAAGTAAAATTAGGGTACAAGCCATGATCTGCCACAAGGTGACATTAGGGTACATGCTATGATCTGTCACAAAGCAAAATTAGGGTACAAGCCACGATCTGCCACAAGGTGACCTTAGGGTACAAGTCATGATCTGCCACAAGGTGACATTAGGGTACATGCTATGATCTGTCACAAAGTAAAATTAGGGTACAAGCCATGATCTGCCACAAGGTGACATTAGGGTACATGCTATGATCTGTCACAAAGTAAAATTAGGGTACATGTCATGATCTGCCACAAGGTGACATTAGTGTACATGCTATGATCTGTCACAAAGTAAAATTAGGGTACAAGCCATGATCTGCCACAAGGCAATATTAGGGTACATGTTATGATCTGTCACAAAGTGAAATTAGGGTACAAGCCATGATCTGCCACAAGGTGACATTAGGGTACATTCTATGATCTGTCACATGAGACTTAAGGGTACATATTACACACTGCCACAAGAAGACATACCTATCTCACATGTTCAGAAGGGGAAAAAACGGATAAAATATATAAACACTTTACAAATTTAAAGTCAAAGATACATAGTAAAATAATTTATACTATCAAAGATGATCTTATCTGTTCATTCAGTAATATTGTATCTTTACCATAAATTCACTTGTCTGAAAGCGGTCACCTCGACCCATAGTGGAAAAAAAGTAGAAGTCTGCGACTACAGCCAATCTGCACACAGTTCGAGGCCCTATGATGGGAGACACCGCCTGACGTTTCTCTCTCTGGGGAGCTAAAACGGGAAATTAACATCAAATTTCAATATTTATAAAACAATAGATATTGAGTACCTATTTCTATAGTAGATTCTGATAATTGTCAGTCATAAATTCACTGTTCTGTGTTTATCTGGTGGTAAATCAATGTCGGGTAATAAGCCAATCCATATATAAAGCTGTTCAGCAAAATAACAAACCATTACTATTTCATTGTCCTGTAATAAGCCCATTCCCTGACTTCGCCTGATAAGTAATGTGTTGCTTCCCTTGTTTCATTTGAAGATAAATATGGTCAGTCCAAAGGATTATTGATTTAAAACATAGTTTTTCTATCGATAATTTGGTGCTATGAACAGCTGCCATTATAAACTATCGTGTCAAGTCAAGACGCATCTTCTTCACTCCAACCCCCATCAAACCTTCTCACTGAATAATCACTGTAAAAAGAACTTTTACAGACTTTCACAACAAAGTGAAGTACAAGTTAACTTTATAACTGAAATGATAAATGAGATTCAAAACAAAATAAAAATTATTTCAATTTTAAAAGCAGGAAGCAGATTTGATATGGTTTTCTACCTGTTTTCTCCAGCTCTGGTTCCGGTTCTGGTTCCCGTGGAAACAGTCTGATGCCGTCATTAAGTTCCATTCCAACAAAGTCATCGGTGTTATCAAAATCTCCCCTGAAATAATGTACATATATCAAAATATTATGTCTATCATCATATCCTCACTTCCTTTTTTAGGTATGTTGGCAATTAAGATTGGTCCATGATTGGTCAATCTGAGGAATCAGTGGCCACATGTCCATTATGTCGGAACAGCAAATAGTTAACTGGTGTTTACATGCTTAATTCGGCTAGGAGGTGTAAAGATCAAACGAATGTGATAGGTATATTGGAAGTTAAACTGTGTACTTTATTTAATAACAACTTGCACAAATCTTTGAAAAGTAAAACAGCATACAAACTTTGTTATCTTGAACTCTGATAACTCAAAACCTTGTTTTACTTGAAGTTTTTATCCTGTCTCAGACTCTCTATCTCCGTTAACTCCATACCAGGATTTCTTAAGATCCCCTCGACATCAAGATAAAGAGGTCTGACTGTACTGTCAATTTGTATATGTCTATTGTACCATATCTGAGTCAGGTTTAGGATTGCTTAGCAACACAATCATTAATGGGGTGTTTTTACTCATTTATTTTATTAAACAATCACAGGCATAAAGTTTTTCCGCAGACAAGTAGAAATTCCTTTGATTGTTAACTGCAGTTAAATTTAGAAAATGTAGCATTATTCAATCAACAAGTCATTATCCACTTACTTCATGTACTGATAATGTAACACTGTGTTTTATAATCCATTAAGACAACAGTGATGTCAAAATAAATATGATACGCCAGATATGTATTTTACTCCCAAATGAGATTAGTTAATAATTACCAAATATTCTAATATAATTAAATGTTACATATAGCTTAACCTTTATGATAAATAACTTGTTTTCTTCTTTTTGAACAATGACATTTTTGCTTTAATTGACATTTACACCCTAGGTGAAATGAACATACATTATATGAAACATTGAATTTGTTTTTATCTACTTTTTTTTTATAATAAATCTGTGTCTTTAAACAATTTAATAAGTCTGTGTTATACATGTACCTGACTCCTCCAATCACTGCATCAGGGTCAAACTTGACATCTGACTTCTTGTAGGCCACCATGGAGTGGTTTGCAGATGGTGACAGATGTCGCCAGGAGGGCTGTAATACAAAACATTCATTCAGATGTCTTAAATATTCTTTCAGTATGTGCAGGTCATTAGTAAATTTAACAGACCATAATAGGCATTTCAAATATTTTCTTGCTTTCTGCTTAAAAAACATTAAGCATTTTTTTAGCAGATTGAACACATTTTTATTGCACATGTCATATAAGTTAGATAAAATCTGGTACATACTGCTCTTCATAATTAAACATGACACAACATTTCTAATTATTTTTGATATTCATTTCCATGAGAAACTGATGCTCAGATTTATCATCCAATCAGATATGAGGAAACAAGCAGTGTACTTATTACATGTTATGGGTTGATTACATGAGCATGTTAGCCAATAAAAATGCTTGTTTTCATGAGAACGTAATTATGAATAATTACCTCTACAAAATACACTTCATCATTGGTTGATATACTGGCCGTCATGATCTCACCATCCCAGAGGACATGTACAAACGAATCAGGATCATCTACAGCAAACAAATAAGAACTTCAAGCATCATGCTACACAAGTGTGAAATGTACCTCCTTTTAAAAAGATTTCTTTAAACCATCATCATAAAAATTTGTTTTAAATAAGCAAGCTGTTTGACTGATTGTTGACCCACAAGCCCAAATCTATATCTATATGATTCTAAAAGTGTTTTTTTTTTTTGTTTTGTTTTTTTGTATAAAGAGATTTTCTTCATAATTAAACTTGCAGTAGTAATGTGATATTTTTTCTGTACTAAATCACAAGAATAATCCAAATATTTTAAGCAACTATCTGTAACACTTTTAAAAAATGTGGACAACTATATGAGGAATATAATGATTTTTGCAATTCAAGCAATTATTTCAAGCAGTAAACACAATTAAATGGGTTTCTTTTGTACAAGAATAAACAAATCTTGTCTAGTATTTTTCTACTCTTTTGTCTTCACTTTCATTTATCTACATATTAGATTCTATGATATACAAGTATGTAAATGAAGTATGTTGCATAAGTTAATATACTGAATGTGTTTATTGAGTGTAAGTATGTCTCTATATGAGTATTTATAAGTGCATGTCAGTATTAAATGTATGTGGTGAGTTTATATGTGAACCACTACAAAGATGCTTTGTATATTTAAAATGTGAATTCAAAATCAAAATTAAAAAAAGGAATAAACAAATCAATGAATAATTCTCTCATATATAAAACAGAAAACAGTTTCACTGAGGTGATAAACATCACAATCAGTTGTAAGACAAAACAAGAAAATTGATGGTTAAATCTTTCAGTCTCATCGCAGGTGTTTGCTATACATACCATAAAGTTTACCAGATAGAAACTTGCTCCTATCAACAGAGAAGGTCTCCTTGCTGTCACCATTTATAGCTGTTGCTTTGCAGTTGGAACTCAAGACAGTAGATTGGTGCAAATTTAAGTGAAAATCTCTGAAAATACCAAACATTTCTATAGTGAAACATTTGCCAGAAAGAAAAGATTTCTGTATACATCAGTCAAATAAGTGTTTCTTTTATCCATGAATCAACCTTTGAAATTTCAAACATTGTTCTCCTGGTTGGTTGCTTGGTTGGTTGGCACAACACAATATGCCATTAACCTTCCATAGTTGGACACTTAATGTGCTTTCATTTCAGCCAACAAAAGTAATTAATTATTGATGATGTAACTTCTTGTTTCACAATCTTTGTAAAATAACAAAACTAACTTCAATAACTAGTCTTTAAGAAAAATGAAAGTTCTGTATGTGGATGACAGGAGTCCTGTTACAGAATCTTACAAGAAAGAGCCAACAATGGGTTGTTTGTTTAAGTGGTTTCTTCACAGCTGGATATAATGATGCAACATACCACCTCTAGAGGATATAACTCCTGATTTACCTTGAAGTGATTGACTATTTTTTTATTCCAGGAGCCAGTCATATGGTTTAATTAACATGACATGCTCAAGAAGTAAAGAAAAATTTGTAACCCTTGGATTTTGAAGTTGAGGAGGAGATTGATTGAAGCTTACCTGCCCATTGTGTTGAACCAAATTTCTTTCATGTCAAATCCTGGGTTTTTGTCAGCACTTCGTCGAACACGTATCCGAATGTCACTTGTGTGCAATGTTTCATAGTAATGGAGTTTGTCATCTAAACCAGCTTAAATATAGCATACAAACAAAATTATTCTTTTATTCTGATTGTTCATCAAATATATTTGATGATGTTTTATGATCCAACTGTTGCTGTGCTTGGCAATAGTCTAATATTGTTTTTTAGATATCAGCATGAAGACATTCTCAAATTGTACGCACAGCGATACATTTACACTGTTTAACAAAATTCTTTTTTTTTTACATTTGAAAGTTTTATCTCAATTTCCCAGTAAAGGCATTTAATTAAACTCTCTTTTCTGGACAAGGTGATCTAATGAAAAAGTTTTAATTTTATTTAGCTTTAAAATAAAGGTCAATTTATTGTTTCAAAATTGAAACCAGGAAGGCTTGGGAAGTATCATAAAATGAGAACAAGGACAGGGAATCATTTTCCTTTTTCCACCTGAACATGAAATATGACACATCATACCCGCAGGTAACCTGTTATCATGTTCAGTCATGCATAGAAAGTATTACTTTATAAGTGTCTACTACAAAACATAGGGCAATCAAGATATATGAATGATTACAATCCTAGTTTACTACTTTTTTTTGCAGTACTAGTTTCATTCTATAAATTTGAAGCAAGAGAAAAAATATTCTGTGGCTACAATACTAAGCTATCAAACACATATTCTCATAATGTTAAAGACTGTCTGGATTATGACTTGTTGGCAGTTGTTTACACTACATTTATTTGTAAACGTATGAACAATCTAAAACAATAACAAATAGCATTATAATTGCACTAGATTTTCAAACGTAAAATGAAAATACAGATTACGGTGACTAAAATCAGGCCATCTTATTTTGCAGAATTTTGTAACATGTTCATATATTGATGGAAACTAGCGCGATTGCATGGACTGTATTTTCTGCAAATTTGATACATTCATACATATAAAATAACACTGTAGAACTACGTAACTGACAGTCTGTCTAACGGGATACAGTAAAGTGTACGAGGAAATCAATCGAGCAATCACTTGACGAATTACTTTCGCTTTTGAGAATTGATTCTGGTCGTTCATCAAAATTTCCCTTCGGATCTGATGAAAAACATATCAGTAATCTATTAGTTGTGACTACTTACAACTCCACACCAGATGGTAGTGACATAGCAAAACAATTATCCACAATAATGAAGTTAGCCTCTGCATACTGTCCGAGATTACAGGTAACTTGGCCGCGCCTGACTCAACCGGATGTTTGGCTGTTTTGGTCCAAATCGAGCTTTGAACTCAGTCAGATACAGGATCAGCAATTCTATTTTACATTTATCAGGTAGGTGATTATAACTGGGTTGTTAAATCAATTTCATTCCTCGAATTAACATTGATGATTCCTCATTATCTTGTAAATAATATATAACACAAAATGATTTCTTAAATTTGAAATTCCCTTGTCATTTATTTGCGAGTTATCATCCTTTACCTATGCCTGCGCCTACGTAAGTACTGAAAGTTTGAAGTTGAAACGTTTCGTTAAATTCCTCTTTGTGGACAAGAGACGTTCCGTAATTTATTTTACAATGTTTGCTGAGTTAATGATTTTTTGAATCAATTTTTTATCAAATGTAATTTCATGACAGTACAATTTCCGAGGAAAATTGTATAACTTTTCAACGGAGTGCTTTTGAATCCTGTTAAATTCTTCTTGACATTTCACAAGTAGACTTTCAGCTTTCTTTTTATCAGTTGAACCAGGGACGTATCAACAGGAAACGATTTGAAACAAATTCTAGAGATCATAGAATTACATTGTATAAGGTTGTTGGTGCTGAAACATGACAACAATTATCATAATTGTTAAATAGAAATTGTGATTAATTTGAAACAGAAAGTTAAACTGATATTTTGTAAGAAACAGGGAAGATTCTTTCTTTCCAATTTCTTCGCCAGGAATCAAACCTACCTTTAGATAGAGCTAAAGAGAAGTTCTTGGTGAGCAGAACCGATGGAAAGTCTATCTAGAAAAGTTGGTTTAGGATTTGGTCGGTTGGTTGGTTGGCAGATAGGTTTTCTGTCTCCGTGACTCCTTCCATATCTGAGTATCGTCTCACTGCTTGTTTCAACAATTACTGGATACTCACTGAACACATTCTGATTATTACCAAAAAATGTGCTTTCATTTCCTCAATACTTAATATCACATTTTATGCTTTAACAATAACAAGTATGGTTGAACATTACCATGGATTTTTGTATTTTATGGTTTTTGTTGGTGAAAACAAATTTTAAATATCAAACAGTGTAAAGCCATTGAAAGAATAGACTTGGCCCGAGAAAGTCTGGCATGATGAGTTTCAGCCAATCGATTATCAAAATTTTGGGCCAATACTAAAGAGCAAGTGCAGATTATTTTCCTTCATGGAGAAAAAATTTGTATGCATGTAAGTATTGTGTTACTGACTTAGTTATACTTTATAAATAATTGCCTTTTTTATCTTGGCAATTGAAAGCTGCTAAACACCATGCATGTAAACAACACCTGTATCAACATGAAAAAAACATCTTTTTTCGTTTAGTTCGAGTTGCACAAATACCTCACCTGAAGTATCTGGCAAAGAAATGATCTGCAGTGTTCCAGAATATCTTTGGTACAAAGAGGTGACTAATATAGGTCTCAGTGGTTTTTGTCTATGCCTTTTACTTATAGAACACTAAAGAGATTTAACCTCATGTGTTGTACATAAAACATGAGCCTCCTTTTGCTGTTGTTGTGGTTGAACAGGTTCAATGCCTCTGATGTAACTAGTGAAACATATTCAGGTGCTGTTATATTTGCTTTGCCACTGCTTAAGGTTCTGTATTTATTTTATTGTATTTATTTAGATCCTATCTCTTGGGACGGAAACAAATTGTAAATATTAATGAAGTAACATCCGAGTCATGTAACATAAAATGGGGGGTACCTCAGGGGAGTTTGTTAGGTCCTCTTCTGTTCTTGATATATGTCAATGAAATGCAAGTCAGCATTGATTCTAACTGCATGTTGATGTTGTATGCAGACGATTCTATTATACTTTTTTCCCATCTAAACCCAGCAGTAATAGCGCAAAAATGTCTTTGGTGTTAGAGTCCTGTCAAGAATGGTTAGTGGATGACCAGCTTTCTCTACATTTAGGTAAAACAGAAAGTATATTTTTTTGGCCCTAAAAGAAAGTTGGATAAAGCTAAAAATATGAATTTTAAAATATTGTGCAATAATCATGACATTGAAGTTATGAAGTGTATAAAATATCTTGGTATAGACGTTAACGATTTGCTATCAGGTGAAGAAATAGTAGATTCAATTGTTAAAAAAGTAAATCAGTGACTAAAATTTCTCCACAGAAATGACCAATGTCTATTGTATAGGTCAAGAAAAACACTTTCCTCAGCATTGATTCTTTGTCATTTCGACTATGCGTTTGCTGGTTGGTATGAAAGGTTGTCAAAAAAACTAAAATGTAAATTACAGGTAGTGCAAAACAAAGTAATAAGATTTATTTTGAATGTTCAAAATAGGCACAGCATAAGATGGAGTGATTTTTTGCGTACAAACATGTTAGATATTAATTATAGGGTTAGTCAAATGAGACTGGATCACATGTTTAATGTTTTCCATGAAAAGGCTACAAACCATATGTATAATTCCTTTAACAAGAATCCATGTCTACAAAATACTCGATCCTCAGCATATAATTTCAGTCTCCCATTATTACAAGGTAAAAAATCTACAACATTCTACTATACAGGCGCAAAAAGATTGGGATTCTCTTCCAGATTATATTAAAAGTATATCAAACAAGCTTAAGTTCAAAACCCAAGTGAAACATTACTTTCAAAACAAAATGCAAGAGAATCATTATAGTTATTATGAATATTATTGAGGGAAATACATTTGTAAATCCATTTTAAGGACCCCAATGGAAATAAGCATTTTAACGCTGTTTTGTGACATCCTAGGAAATATGTACTTTAGTCTTTATTAATAATTATAACTAGATGATACATTAAAGCTATAGCTAACAACTTATGATTATGTATAACATGTTATATGTGCCATATATTCATATATTTTGTACACAAATCTGTACATATCTATCCTGAATAAATTTATTATTGTTATTATCATTAGACTCCCATTAGAAATAATATTGAAAAGAAGGACTGATTATTAGCAAGTTACCCTATTTGCTTTAATAAATGTTCTATTTACTGTTGTGATTTTTGTTTTTAGTTAATACTGTTGTGAGGTGTACATCAATAAAGTGGAAAGACACTGTATTTCCTACATCAAGACTTTTTGTTGTGTTTACAATATGATGGAGTGAGGTGTCATGCTGCTGCACACGTTATAGCATTTCAGTGTGATGACACTACATCTGTGGACACCATCTTCATATGACCTTGACTGTTGTGAGGCCATGCGGACCCAGCCTTTCTTCCTTATGGGATCTTGGTCATATTTGATACCCTTTCTACTCTCCACTAGACTTTGCTTCAAATATAATATCAACAAAGCACAGCCCAGTGGATAAAACATGTACTAAGTCTGTTAATCCAGTCTAACACTTATGGAGGACCAAACCTTTGTAGGGTCAAGGTCATTGTCACTTTCTTTTTTCAATCCTTGTCAGCACTGACAATGTAGATAGCATTTTCATTCCTAAATGGATTTCAATCAAACTTTACACACTGCCATTTTATCTTGTACATCAGTCAAGGTTGAACTGTGATATCATTGCAGATTTTGAGATACATCATCTGGATGAATGTACAGTTTGGTATATCTACAAGATAAAGTCTGTGAGTTGCAAAGAGCCATTGTCATATGACCTGCAAGTATGAAACGAGATTCTACCTGAAGGGTGAAGTGAGAGCGAGAAAGACTCCATTTATACAAAATTGAGACCTCTTCACCAAAGAATGCTGTAGACCAAATTTGGCAATATATTAGCCACACCGTAAATCATATAATTTGTAAAACAACTTAGACAATTTGGAGATAAGTTATGAGAATACACTGTACATTTTAAAAGTAAAAAATCACAATGATCAAATGTTAGCAAATGAGAATATTTGAAAGGTCAAATATGAAATATGACAAACTAGACTCGACAATGATGTGTTTGTGTTTTACAACCATTTCAAATTTCCCTAACTGAAATGTCTCTTACTCTCCCAAAAGGAAACTATGCTAAATATATTCCAAGTTCAAGAAAGTATGGCTAGTTTAACCATATCTTCAAGTGCAATTTTGAGTGATAGTGTTTCATTGAAGAATTAATAGAATCTTTCATCTCTATGTGATAATTCAACTCCTGAGCAATATCTTTCTTGTCAAATATCCTGCAGGTTCAAGTAACTCTGTCTACATCATCCGCAGGTAATGATTATTTTTTCTCTCACGCTTAATAATCATAAAACCTTGGAAATTTTAAAGAGCGGAAGAAAGCTGTCATGCACCAACACATCAAAATAAACCAACACAAACAAGAAAAAGAATGTTCATAGAATTTATTAATCAATCATTATATCTGTAATAATCTGCAAGCAAGACCAATCAAACTTAAGAAAATTGCAGTTATGCAAAATTTCTATAATGACTAATTGTCAGAAAGACCTTGACCCCGAAAATACATGACATGAATGTCATGCTTTTAATTTTTACATACTGATAGGCATGTTGTAAAAGTCAACTCAGGGAGAACTGAAACATAAAAATCATGAGCCATATAATACAAATATTTGAATGAAGGTTTTTTTTTTTTTTTTTTTACATGGTAACATATTTTGATTTTTACTAGATTTTCACTGAAATTTTCTTATGAAAGAGTTTATAACAAGGAATGATTTACGAGTGACGGGATCAAAGGTCAGAATAAGATGCTATATTCCACATAGCTACAAATGACAACGATTGGTTAAAACTAGCTCACACTTAAACAAACTGGATGATAATATTGTGTCTTGACTAGAAAATCACTGGTTGCAGTTTAACAACCTACGAAAGACTTCAGAACTGAAGTTGGAATATTGTTATTATTCCTACATGTAAATGCTATAGTATTAAGTAATATCAGGATCATTATGTACATGTATATATAGCTGATATATCATGGTAACAGGTGGTACCCTATTTACCATAATACTTATCACTAATCCCTCTTTGAAAAAAAAATGCTACCCATCCCATTTACTATGTCATGTGTGCTATGTTATATGTACCTAACATATAACCTTACATATGGAAAATACTTCATTTCACCTCAACAAATCCTTTTATTAGTTCCCTCCAAATAATGAAATCAAACTCAAAATACATAGAAAACAGATACATGCTTTCTTCTAAAGTTTCTGTATTTCTGTATTAATTTATTGCCTGGTGTCATATTCAATGCCAAGGGTACACAGAAAAAAATTCAAATACAATCTAAGATAAAGTAGAATTGACAGTATAAAAATACTTGGCAGTTTGATAGTTCTGTGTGTTCTTAAAATGCTAAAAAAAAAACTGGCAGTACATGTATTTAGGTATGTAGAAAATTTCACACCAGGAGTTATCTCCCCTCCACTACATTTGGCCAAACGAATTTCTGAATTTCTTAAAAACCAGTTAGTATTACTTCATTTAGTTTGACTCATAAAATATTTATCCTAATAACCAACATTTTCATGGTATGAAGATAAGCTTCACTAAGCTTTCTTGATCTTAAATTTGTGTGCACTCAAATATAGATCCGTGATTTTATTTATCATCCAGGGTGTAAAAAGGTTCCTCAGGTTTGACAGATTTTTATCACACAAATTATCTCCAGACTAATAACAGGCCTCAATACAGCTGAACTCCTCGAATATTTCACAGTCATTAAGAAGACCGAATACCGGAAAAGTTTATCAGATACCTATAATGTATGTTGATATTAAAGAAGTCACTGGGTGCATGTACATGATCAGTACAGGAACGGAAAACTCTATACATACATCTTTTCATCTATTATATAAATCATTCATTTTATTATCTAGGTGTATAGCTGGTAATTTCCATGAGTCAAAATTTTCTTGATCTTTTAAAACCACTGAATAATTTTTGAACAAATCAAAATGTCACATTCTTGATGTGAAATTACATCTAATACACACATCTCATTAATTCATGGATGAAACTTTTGCGATCACTTTAATATACTGTGATATTGAGAAAATATCATCACCCAAAAATAACCAGTTCTACAGTAAATTATACTGATGTTAAGACAATTCTAAATAATTGAACTTTCACAACACAAAATGGAGTAAGAGAAAGATCATTTTCTGAAACAAAATACCCATTTCAATTTTTGTTTATGACAATGTCACCAATATATAAAGTCAAAGAAAAAAGAAGCTTTCAAGAATGTGGAAAAAATTGTTTTGAAGAGTTTGTCAGTTCAGCAATATTGAATGACTGAGTAATAGTAAAGGTTGAAAACCATAGAACTGGTTCAATCTGCGATGCATTTGATATCTGATATTTCAGAATCCACTTTCTAGATTTTTTAGAACATGTATATAAAGTTTTTATATTCTTTCACATAATCAATCAAAATGACTTGTTAGTTTGATAACACTACTTATACATATGCATGTACACATAGAAAACATTGATGGAAATCAAAATACAATTTCCTCCAGCTCCCAAAAACAATTAGGTCAATCTGTGTCTTGGAATGATACCATCTTTGAACCAAAATTAAATATATATCAACCCTTAAATTATGCCTATATCACTTCCAAAAGACTCATACTCCTTACAGAAATGTCAAGAATTAATGAAATACATAGTGAACCTGCATGTTAATAAGGAATATCAAATACTACAGAGTTGAATTAACTACAAGGACAAATGTATTTCTAATCTGATGTAATATATCAAAGACATCAATCTTGGCATATGAAGCAGAATGACAGAAATATTTTAGTGACTATATCTGGAGAAAATTACATGTGGTTTCCTTTTAAGGAAAAAAAGAATATTTCATTAAAATTTTGGCACAAAAACTCGAGATACACTTACTCTAAGGTTAGTTACAATTTTAAATCTATAAAATCTTCAAACTTTTCTGTTTCACTGGCATTCTTTAGTTCTCCTGATTTATACATGACATCTGACGGAAATATATGGCAGTGAAAATCAGGATACAATTCTTTATCAAGGATTGTCCTTTTCAAGAATTTTTCAAGATATTTGATATTAACAGCATCCATATTGAATCTGCAGCAATGTTCCAAACTGTAGTTTTTGAAATCCCGATAATCAATTTTTTTTCCAACTTTCCTTACACATATATGAATACATATACCGGTATATGATTGATTGTTTTTTGTATATGTATGTATACATAGTTCATGTAAGTTCCCAAGTACATGATTTTAGTTTCCAATGAACTGGAATTCTTGTACATATCAATTAATCTAATGAGGATTTCTACATGTCCAAAATTTTGGTAAAAGTACAGCATATAGCACCATAATTCCTTATTGCACTTAATCACCCTAGCACACCGACTCCTCTCCATTGATTGACATGAGTTTAATGTCCCTACTCTCAAGTTCCAGAGTCAGTTGTTCAACTTCTGCTTCAAGAAGTTTATTTTTACGAAACATTTGTACATAATTTAACTGAAGTTGCTTTTGATAGCGAATCACTTTGTTCTTTTCATCTGCCCATTGTTCCCGTTCTTTCTCAAGGGTATCATGATGGGCTTCAACTTCTTGCCGTAGTCTCCGAACCTCCTCGTTTAGACCTTCTTCGGCCAAGATAGGGGTTCCAGGGGATTTGACTCTATCACAGTTAGGAGACTTGCCTCTAGATTTCAAATCTTTGTCACAAACACAAGGTGTGTCCAATTCTGCTGAAGATTCTAAAGAGACTCTTCGCAAACTTTCTTTCAACGATTGAACCTCATCTGTTCTCGCAACAATTTCACGAAATTTTTCACCAATTTCTTCATCCTTTTCTAAGAGTTCTTGTTGTTTCTCCTCTATTTCTTTACGAAGCTTAAGCACCTCCTCTGTCTTATTAGCAAGACTGTCATTTAAGCTATCCACTGTTAGGTGCAAGTCACTGATGTTGTCATCCGAAACCGACTTATTATGTGAAGAAATGTTTGATACTTCTAATTCTAGTCTCTCAGTTTCCAGTTCATACGATTTCACTTTTTCCTTCAGCTCCTCATTTTCAGCTTTAATCCGATCAGACTCCTCCTTCATGGTTTTCTTTTCTTGTTGCAACTTGTAAACCTGCAAGGAGAGAACCTGTTCCGTTTTGTAAGATTTTCTTTGCTGTAACTTCAGTTTCTGATCATATTCTTCTTTAACTTGTTTCATATCATGTGACCAGGACTTTTTCTTTTCTTCATAAACTTGAAATATCGCTTTCTCATTTTTTTCCATCACATCACGTAATATATTAATTTCCGCATCCTTCTCCTTCAACATGGCCTCCAATTCCCCGACCCCACTGTCACTTGGGGAGGGAGTCTGTACATAACCTTCCAAACGATTCACAGAAACACGACTCATATTTGAAGATGGTATAGACTCGGATCGCTCTGGTGTATATTGTTTCTGACTCTGTCCATCACTTGAAAAGCTTGTCGAATGATCACTGTCCATTTGAAATGATCGAATAGACTCAGGCCGATCTGGACTGAACTGCTTGCTGTGACCATCACTCGAGAAGCTAGCCGATCGGTCGCTCTCTGTGTTAAGTGATCCATGCGACATATTTGCAACATTACGCTGGTTGGTCATTGGGTAATCCTGTGATCCGTACCCATCATCCTGCTGTGAATATTTCCTATGGTCCACCATTCGGCGAGTATTGACGTAATTGTGATTCACAACAACAGGCTTGAATGCAATTGGCTTTATAATTCCACGGGCTGGTGACTGTAACGACAAAAAGAGGTGAAAACAATTAAAAGATATCACATATAAATAGCTCAAAAACATCATTTTAGTTCACAACTGATTTGCTTACAATTTCAGAACAAAAATCCTGCATCCTGTAAGATCTATATTCGTACAAACCAAGTATAAATACATCAACTGTTCCTTTCATTGCATCTCAAATCGTTACAGGTGTTTAAAACCTTCCTTCTGATTTTGGCAACTGTTTGTGTTGATGTGTCCAGCTTAGTTAGCAAGAAATTTGGATATCAAACAAAAAACACATCCAGATGTTACCTTATCAGAACTCTTCATAATTAGAGGCACATTTAGCATGCCTGCTTAATCTGACATTTTACTGGGGTTAATTTTAGAAGTGAAACAGACATGAAGTTGATTGGAAAATGAACACACAGTACATTGGGTTTCTTAACTAGGTCTACTGAACTATTGAAGATAAGTACAAAATATTGGTAGAGATTAATGTCAACACAATTGTGATATCCGGAAAGTTCAGAATATTCAAGTACATCTCATCATGACGCTTCACTCATATGCCATTCCAGGAAATATGAGGAAACTGTCAAAAATTACTGAAAATCCTTTGTGGGGTTTTTTTCAAAATTATGTTGAAGAAAAAAAAAACATCAGCTATGATAGATTTTCGCAGAAATTATAGATATCTTATAAAGCAAAATTGTAAACGATTCATTTCTGGCAAGTGATACTAGCGCATAGATATTCAAAAAAAAACCTGTCATGTAAAGAAAGAAATGTTTTGAAATTCTTCCTGGAACAGCATAGGGTTGAATTTTTTCATCAAGTTAGAAATTTACAATAATGAATTTCCTCCATAAATAAATTTACCCCAAGTATTTTCGACACAACTACAATAATCCTTCCAATGAACTGCAGGTACTTGTGTTAAACATCTTACATACAGGTCAACGCACACATCAAAAGTGACATCAGGTGTATTTATATTATATAACAATGACATCAGCATTCAACACCTACCATGTTTGGCTTCATTATGATGTATTTTCCTGAACTAGAGATGACATATTTTGTACTGAAATCCTATCTTCAATGGTAACACACCAGTCATTAATATCCAGAATGTGTCACAGTTCAAACAATACAAACTTATTGGTAGAGTATTACATCAGTCCAACATGTAAGTCCAGTAACCTCACTTTAAAAAGTATGGCAAACAGTACTTGTTTTAGTACATCACTATACATAGACATGAACACAGGTAACTACATACTGGCCACACATGTGCTATATACTACAAGTGTCTGTGTATTGTCCACATTATGACCACACATGTGCTATATACTACAAGTGTCTATGTATTGTCCACATTATGCACATATCCTCAGTAATCAAAGGGATCCAGATAAATGAGGTATCATAATACAACTGCATATATCCTTTCTGTCCAAATCAAGGTAAAGTATTTTCACCTTTTGTTAAACAAATGTAAAAACTTTCTATCACTGAAGGTGTTTCTCTGTACAGGTAAAATAAATCACAGTCAGGTAAGACAAGATCTGACTGAGGGGATGTCACTCAGTGACAGCCGAGTCGTGTGACTGTAAATCGGGGTACATTCTACCTGGTAATGATAACAGTAGGGCCGACTGCGGAAGGACAGACACTACCCGACTCCAACGACCTTTGCCTGACAAATGTGAAACAATTACACCCTTCCATTATCAGTGGAGATATTTAAAGCATCACACACCCTTTTCCGCTATCTAACACTAAATCTGCGTAGATAAATGTTTCGTCTGTGATGCGACAATTATTCCAGATCACCTGTCGCTAACGTATAGTTAAAGATTACATTGCACACTTTCATGTCTGACGACAGATGATATGGGCTTTAATGGTAGTCTTCCTCAATTTATCAGGGAATTTAAATAAAATTTCTAGTACAAAGTATATAGAACCATTCAGATCCTGATTTAGACTTTTAAAAAGGACTTTGTAAATCTAGGGCATAAGAAAGCCTGCTGAAAGGTTCAGATTAATGGTTTATTTGATGTGATTTTTTATGCTGACACTGACAAAACTTGGTTGCCTGGCAGATTTGAACTTATTGATATGAAAATTATACCTGATCCAATTATGTATCCAAAGCACTTGATATATGAGACTTTACACTTTGCAAACCATATCATTAGCCTAAATATGATATATAAAGACAGTCATCACACTTAACAATTGTCTGCATGTCACATCTTAACACTTGGAACTGAAGAGCTTCAGTAAAAAATTCATTTGGAACAGAACTGAATTTATGCAAACAGATATCATGGAATTTAAGGGAAATTTGTTGAATTGTTGAAAAGATAAAAAGTATGCGTGTAAATTATACAACATACCATCACATTGTGGGTTTATTCTAATACAATCTGATTTCATTAGATTAAATTGAATTAAACTGAAGGAGTCGGTAAACTAATCAATGTTCAAAAGGCTTAAAGAATTTCTCCACGGTAACAGGATAGGCTACAATTATGTGCATCAACATTCCCAAATTGACATTTCCCTGATCTTTGACTGTACTCTTTACCCCACCAAACAAACATCCCTCTGACCTAGATCAAGTTAACCTACAAAATACTCGTTTCTTTGAGACGTAATAGATAAATCAAAGAAGAAAGGCAAATGCATATGGAATACATGCAATTTAAAAAAATAGATGCTAATCTTTTATTTTTTCGACTTTTCCAATGCTTTCACTTTAACACAAATGAAAAGTATCCACTGATGATGACTGGCAATTCATTTGTTTTACAATTCTGTTGTGTGGTTCTAGTAAAATAACTTCTAACATCATATTTCTCTCATTAAATGTATGTTGTAAGAAACCTCGTATAATGAAGTCACAAAAAACTCAATTTTTATGTCATGACTCATGAAGTCACTTGGACATGATAATCAATCATGGAAATAAACAATATGAATAAAAACATTTAAAGACAAAGATTCAATCCATTATACAGATAAAACAGATACTAAAATCATCGAGAAAACTAACAATAATAAAACATTAATATTGCAAAAAGAGAACAAATGAAATAAAAAAATGGTGTGTGTTATCATCTCTGCAATGAATAAAACCTTTGCTGATGTATATGAGAAATATTCCAATAAATGAAAAATTAAAATTCCACCAAACAATGAACAGCGTTCTCTTAACAGCTCTTTTTACTACCACTGGTCCAGACAGATAAAAATGTAGACATTGAGGTGTCACTCAATGAAATGAAGTGGTGCGGTATACTGTAATCTTAAAAGGTAACACTACTCTATGTTTGACAAGAGTGCCCTCCTGGTCCATTTCCTACTCAGCAGGAGAAGTAATCATGCATTACCAATATCAAAGACTAAGTTATTTTATGATTGTAAGTAGTATAATCACAACCTACCTATATCTGCAAGTTTTCAATCCTACATCTTATATACAGAATACTATTCCCTTGAAACCGTGGTGTATATTTGCCTAAAGTGATGGGAATAAAGACAGACAGGGTGTTATTGTAACCCCCTAGGGATTTCCTGAGCCAGTCATACAATCAATTGGCTAAAGTATGTAAGATCTACAGGTACACATTCAAGGCTGTAAGTTAATTAGATGTTTGTCTAAGCATGATTTGCCAGCAGGAATCACAGGTATGTGATAGTTATATCTAATAATCCAGGTATATATGGAGATGTTGACCTGAGAATTTTGTAACTGTCCGTTAATGGACTCATGATACCCTTAATAAACATCCTACAGTTTTCATATCAATCAATCAGCAGAGCCTCAGGTTTTCACAAATTTTGATCAATGGTCAGCAATGTGACCGCTGGATTTTAGTGGTCAGTTACTTTGATATTTGTCTAGGGAGACATCAAGCTTTACTGATAAGGTGGACAATGAGATAAGCCTTATATTGACTTACACCAAATATATCATATACATGTATATACCCACAGGTAGTGTTTGTAGGAGACATGCCACAGATATACAATGTAAACCATGCTTATTGTCATCTACCTTACACACACCTGAAACTTATCATTATTTATATATACTCTATATCCCCTGGTACTGTCATGGTATCTGACCCAGGAATGTCTGTTATCATAGCTCAACCACTTCACAGATCTTTCTTTAAAAATCACACCTTCACACTGTCAATTTATCAAACTTTTCCACCAGTAATGTTTTAATGTCCAAAATAAGATAAATTTTTCATATGCATCCTTTCAAAATCTGGACCCAATCAAACTTCTTGGAAAGAACATATTTCTTTTCTGTTAAAAACACATCTGCATATCTGAAGTATGATTGAATAAAATATTTATGCACCAGTATAGAAAATCATATGTTAATTGATCAAGATGTTCACTGAAATCATTTCATTTATCAACTTCAAAATTTTGACATATTATTTCTTTTACTAGGAAACTGATGATAAACATGTATATTATCAGAGACATATATAACACGTTATATACGTCTCTGATATTATACAGGAATCTGTTAGTTATGGAACGGAACACTTAAACATTTTCTTTGACAAGAACAGTAATGTTCTTTTGAATTCAATAAGTCAATCTTAGTGGCCAAGGCTAAACATAAGACATATAACAATTCCATAAAACTAAAGCATGGTGAGAGACAAACTTACCATGACAACAGCACTTTCATTTGTTAAGTGCTGCCTGTAATATCAACCACTTACATCAGTTCTATAAAAACATTTGACCTTGACCCTGTAGAGAATGACAGGGTCCCCAGGCCAGAGTAATTGATGGAAACAAGTGAGCTGACAAGTTGTCACATTACATAGCAAATATTATCTTAATCCTACAATTGTTTTTTTTTTTTTTCTTTCTTTTTTAAATGATAAAGACTCATTCAAAACAACACCAAGAAATTTGGGCAGGTTTACTTGATCTGAAAAAGGAATGAATTTTGGTTAAAATTCAGCTAT